CAGGCCTGCCACTTTGTGAAGGGCAGGTTGCACATCCAATAAGGTGGCTGAATTAGGCCTTATGGAAAGAATGGCATTTGAGTGGAGGCTTAAAAGAGGTTAGGTAGTTGGCCAAGTAAATTATTCTAGAAAGAGTAAGTAGCTAGAGCAGAGACCATGAATGGGTGTTTCTCTGTTCAAGAAACAAGAAAGAGGTCAGTGTGATTGGAACAGAGTGATTCAGGTGAAGAGGGTTAGAACAGGTCACAGGGCTGGGCACAGAAACACACCTGTAATCCCAGCACTTTGGGAGGCCAAGGTGGATGGATCACTTGAGGTCAGGAGTTCAAGACCAGCCTGGCCAACATTGCGAAACCTTGTCTCTACTAAAAATACAAGAAGTAGCCAGGTGTGGTGGCACATGCCAGTAATCCTAGCTACTCAGGAGACTGAGGCAGGAAAATTTCCAGGGCAAAGACAACATCTTGTTCATCTTTATTTCCTTAATGCCTGAACATAGACATGACATAAGCAGTTGGGGGTTGTTGAATGAATAGTTAGGAATACATAACTTGTTTAGAAATAGGGAAAACCTAGTATTTCTGGAAGCAGATATACAAATATTTTGGCTGTGAAAGAATTTTGATTTACTTGAATAATATAAAAGGAAAAGTTGAGTCAGCCAATTTCCACATTCGCTGATCTAAGAGGAGCTCTTTTTGGTGCTGAGGTTACAATGAAAAGCCAGTCATGTATCTTGTGTATCTCTTTTATCTCTCATATCTCTCAGCCCCTCAGCAGGCGTTCTCTACCCTGTGCTATTAGTGGGTCTGTAAGGCTACAAACTCCATTTCCCAGGCTGCCAGTGCTTATGGGCAGAACTGGTGGGAGAGAAAAAACGGAGAAAATCATGAAAGGTTTTAATGCTTTAGTTAATACTGGAAATGACAGTTGTTTTCTGACAGTTGGAAATTGTGCAATCCATTATCTAGTTAATAATTCATTCAGAGGAAAGGAATAGTCATATGGTTTATTACTTGTATACAAATAAGTTACATTAGGATTGCTTTCCTAGATCCCTGAAAACCTTGAAGTACCCACTTTAGAAATGGCAATTAAAAACAGGAATTTGAAAAAGCATGCAGAGGATTTTGGATAATATTCCAATACAACAAAATACACAGAACAGGTAGGAATATACCACAGTGTTCAACCATCAATTGGGAAAGGAGACCACGAAATCTTGCTGCATTCAAATTCCAGGGTCATAGGTTGACATTGAAAATAGAAGGGGACTGCAAATGCCAGAAACCAAGTGAGAAATCTGAGTAAATACAACAATGAAAGGATATTTCTATAATAAGGGAACATGATACATTTTATAAAGTTCACAAGAAAGTAGTCATGGAAAGTAGTCATCCCGAAAATTTCTGTCACAGCAACTCCCTTTGAAATGTACAAAATAGATACTACTTATGCAAAGCTGACTGAAACATAGCTTCCTCATTTGAATCTGTCAGACCCAATTTTGACTATCATGAGAAAAAACAAAAGATGGACTAAAAAAGGTGTTTAGAGAAGAGTAGATAAATTGAATTTACTTAGTGGTTAAAGTTCTTATGAATAATTGAGGAAATGGTTCCATATATATTTGGGAAACTACTAGAAGATAATTATTAGAAGATAATTTGGGAAATTAATAAAAGAAGACCAATACTGTAAAATAGTTATAGGATACTTTTAAAATATAGTCTTTTTTATTAAACAACTATAATTCCATTACATAGAAGTTTCCATTAACAAAGTGTTCAATCTCCATTTCTCTCAGCAACATTTTCAGAGTTTTTACATAGCACTTCTTGTTTGTATCCGCGGATCCTCAGAATCCTGTGAAGTATGTTGGCCTTTTTCCTTTTTATTTTTTTTTCACTAAAGGAAGAGGCAGAGAAACTGTTTTGCAGAATTATATATATCTTTGCCAAAATTAAGAACATATCCAAGAGTGCTATTCATCAAAAACTTTTGTCATTATAACCATTTGTTTTATTAAAGTAGAAAAAAAATGCTATAACCAATTCCTACCCGAGTAAAGGGAGAAAAAAGAAAATAGAGGATTTCTGCACTGCTTCAATTACAGAAATGAAATAGAATGGCAGACTAGTCACCACCAAAATTCCTACAAACATTTAAGAAAGCATGAAAAGAGGCCGGACGCGGTGGCTCACGCCTGTAATCCCAGCACTTTGGGAGGCCGAGGCGGGTGGATCACGAGGTCAAGAGATCGAGACCATCCTGGTCAACATGGTGAAACCCCGTCTCTACTAAAAATACAAAAAATTAGCTGGGCATGGTGGTGCGTGCCTGTAATCCCAGCTACTCAGGAGGCTGAGGCAGGAGAATTGCCTGAACCCAGGAGGCGGAGGTTGCGGTGAGCCGAGATCGTGCCATTGCACTCCAGCCTGGGTAAAGAGCGATACTCCATCTCAAAAACAAAAACAAAAAAAAAAAAAAAAGAAAGCATGAAAAGTGGGATTTTATTATGCTTTATATACTGCTTATATCTTAACTAAGCAGTTTATTTTACTGAATCTAATTTCATTGGAAAATAACTTTTTTGGCCATCCTTTTCAATAGGCTATGGATAAACCCATTTTATAATTCACCTATTTGTAAACACATACCTTTGTTTTAAATAAAAGTGGGGTATCTAAAAGACTGCAAACAAAATAATTTTCTTATTTGAAATTATATACCAGATAAAGTTTCCTACATAATATTTTGATTATGAAATATCAGTGGCTCCCCAGTGCTACTGAATAAAATTTAAACTTTTTGCTCTGGCACTGAAGGCCCCTGCAATGTACCTATCTCTTCCAACTTGCTTTACTTGCTAAATTTGACAAAGTTATGAGTCTTCTTAGCTTTCTAACATGTTATGCTGTCCATGTAATAACAACAGCTTGCACAACTGAAAGCATCCTTTTCCTTCTCTGAAATTCTACAAGCCCCATTTTATCACTCATAAGGCATTTATCATTGCACTGCTTTATTTGTATGCAAGTCTTACCAACCTGATTGTACTTCAGGCCTAAGCCCAAGTGTGTATGGGTGTGCATGTGCGTAGGTACACACACATGCACACAGAGGCGTTATTTCATCTCATCTGGCATAGCAGACACTGAAAAGTATTTTTCTACAGTAGTTTCCTCCTCTACAGAGACTTTTAGGCTTGGAGGCACAGGAGTGGAAGGAGGCACAGTGGTCCTTAGTTAATCTTAGGAAGCTATATTTGTATAATGCTTTCTGGTTTGTAAAAAGCTTATCTCTTCATGTAACATCAGAAATAAATGTAACAGAAAAGTGAATAGAGTTGTCTCTAATGAGTTTAAATGTGTAAGATCAGAGGTATTAGCAAATATTGAGAAAAATTTAAAATGAAAGGAGAGAAAAGGAAATGGCTAGCTTTGTGAAAATAACATAGAGTTGATTTAAAAGAAATTTTAAAAGGCTAGAAAAGATTAAGTAGAGAAAGTCTACAGAACTTTGGAAAGCTAAAGAAGTTTTAAGTTAGATTGAAAAGGAGACAATGAATGCAATAAAAGATTATAGGAATTAATAAAGGGAGAGCGGTATGGTTTTGAAAGTCTCTGGTCAGCCTATGGTATTTCAGAGCAGGAATCCAGAAAGGGTATTTGAGAATAGACAAGAACACCATGCTGGTGACTGACTAAAACGTAGTCAGGGATTTCATCAGAAGCAGAATCCATTCATGACAGTCTGGCAATGCAGGAAAACGCTAGTAGGCACTTGGGCGCTTCAGAAGTCAGTCTTTTAAGCATGCAGGTGATTTGGGTGAAAACAAAAAATATCAAAAAATTCTTATTCCTTGTGAATAACTCACAGCATTGAGTCTTGACATCACATATTGCCACTTTGGATATTGTACAATCCTTTTCATCAGATACCTAGGATTCTCAATGTGTTTATGAACGGATACATTTTCTTTCTTTTTTTTTTTTTTTTTTTTTTTTTTTTTTTTTTTTTTTTTTTTTTTTTTTTTTTTTTTTTAACTTTTTGAGACAGAGTCTCACTCACTCTGTCACCCAGGCTGGAGTGCCGTGGCACGATCTCGGCTGACTGCAACCTCCACCTCCCAGGTTCAAGTGATTCTCCTATCTCAGCCTCCCAAGTAGCAGGGATCACAGGCATGTGCCACCATGCCTTGCTAATTTTTGTATTTTTTTGTGGAGATGGGGTTTCACCGTATTGACGGTGCTAGTCTCAAACTTCTGACTTCATGTAATCCACCTGCTTTAGTCTCCCATAGGCGTGAGCCCTGGGACCCGGCCTAAACAGATACATCTTCTCCTACCACTCACATGTGAGTTTCTATCTTCATAAGCTGCCTCTAAATGGATCTTCCTACCCCAACTGACAGGCCAGTCTTGAAACTATGAATTATAAATATTTGGTATGAATCTTCTGACCTGGAGAAAGTTTAAGCTTAGCTGGCATAAGTCTTGATGCACAGTCAGGTATAAACTGGGGAAGAGGGACACAGATGACATCTTAGCACTTAGTTAGGCCCAAGATAGCTAAAAGGTAAGAAACAAGATGGTAAGTGTTATAGAATGTGTTCACACATGTGATTCATAATCATTTTGATCTAACTTGATAAGTTGATTTTTATTTACCTGAATGTGAAAGATTCCCCCCTAAAGAGTAGCAAAATTAACATTGACTAAAGAGTGGAGTTCTGTGGAACAGTCTCACATGTCTTAATGATAAAGAAGCAGTCTCACATCTTAATGATAAAGAAGCTGTTTAAGGCATTCTTCCCATCTGTACTATCATGGTAAAGAAATATGGATTCCCCCACCCCAATTCTGACAACAGTATGTACATGGCAACAAATACACTAGACTGACCCAGAATCTAGAACCTCAGAGAATAGTACATAAACACAAGGGGCATAAGTTAGAAATTTTTCAGAAATCTAGACAACACAAGATTTTCACAGCTACAAAGGTCATTTTACTGGTACATTTAATAAATGTTTATTAGCACCTATATACAAGGCACAATGGGAAGTAAAAGACCTCATGGATCTGAACAAGTTGTGAAAGATTCATTGGAGGCAAAATAAATGGTCAGAGCAGCAGCCCCCAGATCAGGGCCATCCAACCAGATGTCATAAAAGTGCTGGCTGAGGGCAATTAGCCAGTCCAGAAGGCCATTTAAATCCACTGGGTGAGAACAAACTATTTTAGGTTCTACAACTTCCAGACAACTCTCCTATGGCCTCCTATCAAATGACTTCTTCCAATCACTTTCTAGAATGTAGATGATAACTCATCATCTCAGCCAGACTACATTTTCCAATACCTGATGATGTATAGTGGTAAATAACTTCTGTAACCATTAAGGGCTCCAGGGTAGCCTCGGTTCAAAGACAAATGAGCACCAATGTTGGCATGAATACCATGGGTCACTGTGAAAGAATTTTTTTCCCTACATGGCTTCTCTGATGTTGAACAAGGTATGAAGTTCGAGTGAAACCTTTTCCACATGTGTCACACTGATAGGGTTTCTCACCAGTGTGGATTTTTTGATGTTCAATAAGACTTCGATTCTGTGTGAAACTTCTCTCACATTCATTACATTTATAAGACACTGGAGCCTCAACATTTTCCCAGTGGCTTTCTGTCCTACTCTGACCTTCCCAGGGCATTCCATGCTCAGGATTCTGAGAATTTTTATCACCATGAATCCTCTGATGTCTCAGGAGATGTGAATTCCGCCTAAAAGCTTTGCCGCACATATTGCACTGGTATGGCTTCTCCCCAGTATGAATTTTGTGATGTTCAAGGAGGCTGCAGCTCTGACTGAAAGCCTTCCCACAGTCATCACACTCATAGGGCTTCTCCCCAGTGTGGGTTCTCTGGTGTTTGATAAGGTTTGAGCTGTGACTGAAGACCTTACCACATTCTTCACACTCATATGGCTTCTCACCAGTATGGACTCTCTGATGAATGACAAGGGCAGAGCTCCCAATGAAGGTCTTCCCACAGTCTTCACATTCGTAGGGCTTCTCACCAGTATGGATTCTCCTGTGTTTAGTCAGGCCTGAACTTTGAGCAAAACTCTTTCCACATTCATGGCAATAATGTCGCCTACTCCCTATGGCATTTTTCTGCTTTCTTTGTAACCTGCCCTCCTGTTCACCAGCTTCTGCACATGTAGGAATCTGGGCAATGTCTTCACTCAGGCAGCACGAAATCTTCCCATGCTCCTTTTCTGGAAGCTCCTCAGCGGGAGGCAAGTCCCTGCTCTTAGTCTGTATTTCACCACCTGAAACAACAAATGGCCGGCAACTGTGGGTTACACCCTGCCTTGGGAGGAAAGCTCTGTGATGAGTGCCAGGGAGGCAAAAATGACAGAGATCTATAAATGCCCGGGACGAGGATTTAAGTGCTAGAATAAGGATGGGAACAAAAGGGAAAAACAGAGTGCTGGGGAGGAGGGAGACCTGAGAAGGGGAATGGTGCCACTGGAAGGGTACAAATAGGGAGTGGAGGGAAAGTGGTGAGAACCCAGGACTGGTTGGGGGACATAGGTGGTGGTTCTAAGCACTAAGAATAGTAAGCCAGGGCCATGCAGCTAGGATTAGATTTTGAAAGGGCTGAGCAGAAGGCGATAGTAACAGGGCAAGTGGAAGGATTTCTGAAGCATCTGTAAGAAATGGCAAAAGTGAAGACTAGAAATTGGTGACAGATCAATGACATTGGCCATCGTCTCTTTGCCCCAGGCAGAGGCAAAGTTCCTGAACAGAACTGGCATTGGCGCTGGGAGTTCTGAGTTAGAGGCCTCACTGTGCCACCAATAAGCTATGGGGTCTCAAACAAGTGAGGTAATCTACGCCTCTGCACCCTCACCCCTAAGGTCAGGGTCTGTAGTTGATGTCTAAGGTTGCTTCTGGCTCTCCTATTCTGAAACCCTGGCCCATTTTCTGAAGAGGTCCCCAGGTTTCCTCTTCAGTCAGGGATAGGAACAAGAGGACATCAACATTTACTGATCATCTCCTATGAGCCAGACCTGTACTAGGAATTGTGTCAACTTCACCCCACTTATCCTAAATAGAACACTGGCATGGCGGAAGAGAACCCAAGGTCAGGAGGGGTAAGGAGCTAGTAGTCAGTAACAGGTTTTCAGAAATAGTGATTCTGAATCCAAACATAATGGGACTTAGCAGCTTCTAACAGCCCAGTAGGTTCTAAAACACAAAGAATGCCAAGAAATCTTATGAGAAATTACTCTCTATCACTCTCACCAAGAGAGACCAGGCTGCTATGGTTCTCCTGCTTTTCATCTCTGTAGAGGTTCACCTGAGATGAATCCAGCTGTGTCCACCCAGGAGAGAGGGTCAGGGCCTCATCTTCCATTTTCAGCAACTCCTAAAACAACAGGTACTCATAACTAGCTCTTCTTGCCCAAAATTACCCTCAAAGCAAAGAATGAACATCCCCTTTAAAGAGGCTCTTTAAAAAAGAGCAAGTGTGGCACACCTACACCAATTTAACTTTATCTCTAATAAGATCTTTATCCAGAAAACCTGCCAAACGAAAGAAATATTACACATATTTTAGGATAAGTACTTTCATATAAATATCTAAACAGCCCAGAAGATGAAAAGGTTTGGAAAACAAGGGTCAATGTAGTAGAAGGAGAACTATGTCCAAATTTTTGCAAAGATTTGCAGAATGCTTTGGCAAAGTGAGGGTAGGGGTTCATTTACATTAGCAGTTTAAAAAATACAATGAAATCTAGGACTGAAGTGAGAAAATTAGGGGAAAAAAAGAATAATAGCCTCAAACACGGAGATCTTCAAGCAGGACATGAAAGGCTGAGTAGTAAACTGAAATCTAGGTTAAGAAAAGATTGTTCATATTGTGATATAAATAACTTTAAGAGGCTGTGCCTTATGTCACCTTTCAAGTAACAGTTCTTTGAGGGCAAGGGCCGGGCCTCTATATCCCCCATCAACAGCACAGCTTATTTTACTTTGAAAAGCAAAATAGAATGACCATCCCAATAAAACCTTCAGTTTGCATTTGCTAAACTGCTCTTGTTGAAGAAGAAAAATCACATTGAGGAAGAGGCATGTAATAGGAAAGATCTGAAATGCACAAAGAACACTCCAAGGTTGTTGTGAAACAGGAAAATCTTAGGTGGGCAGCAATGAAGGAAGAGAATAATATGCAACTTTGGGATACATGAGAAAACTCAAACCCATGTAGACCTAGGATAGGGGTGGGGTAGGACCGGAGAGGGAGGAACCTAATGCAGAGCCCAACATTAGTAAAAAGTGTGGGGTGCTGGGGGAGGGAGAGGAGCTCCAGCTCACCTGGGACCCTGGAGTGAGCTTGGAAGCTACCATTGCATCTTCTCTGCAGTGCCCTCCCTGGGCAAGCCCAGGAACCTGGAGAACTAAGAAGGAAAGAAGCTCTGGGTGAGAACTACCCTAGTATTCAGCCTCCCTGCCTTGCAAAATCCAACTTAAAAAAACTGGGGTAGTAAGTTCTTGCCAATAAGTTTATACAGAATGTGTTCCTTTCAAAAATACTTGATTCCCACCAGCTCCAGTCCTAGGGTCTAAAGAAATCTGGTGTGCTCTGCAGATATACAAAAACCATGTGTAGAATCCTTGGTAGGAGTAGTGAAATGAAAACAATGTAACAAAGCTTTCCATTTGAAGACCTTCGGTTTTGAATTTTGCTAGGACATGGGGAGTAAAGAGGATTTTTTTGTTTTTGTTTTTGTTTTGTTTTGGTTAAAATGTCATTAGTAGATATCAGGATGCTTTCCACTTCGGGTTGGAAAAACTAGGAGGCCAGGCACAGTGGCTCATGCCTGTAATCCCAGCACTTTGTGGGGCTGAGACAGGTGGATTGCCTGAGTTCTGGAGCTCAAGACCATCCTGGGCAACCTGGGGAAACCCATCTAAACCAAAATTACAAAAAATTAGCTGGGTGTGCTGACATGGGCCTGTGGTCACAGCTACTCAGGAGGCTGAGGTGGGAGGATTGCTTGACCTTGAGAGACAGACAGGTTGCAGTGAGCCAAAATCACACCACTGCATTCCAGCCTGGGTGACAGTGAGAATCCCATCTCAAAAAAACAAAAAAAGAAAGAAAGAAAGACAAGAAAAAGAAAAACTAGGAGGAATCAGAAAAGGCTGGGTCTATACATGAGGAAATGGCAGACTGCTTAAATAGAACTTGCTCATTCTCAAAAGAGAAGTAGAAGAAACCTTAGGTTTCCCTACAATAAGTCAATTTGTAAGGGGCAGAAACAAGTTGTTTTAGGCCAGGATCTCTAATGAGAAATAAAGATTGCATGTTGGATGGCATGTCCAAGTGTTGTATATCTTAGGAATCTGCCCAGATGTTCACAGCAGATGAGGAACAGCATGGAACACACAGCTGCTTCCTATTAAGTGATATTCACTCTGTTCTAGTTACAGATTTTACAGGGTTTAGATTTATCCTCTTCTCCTTGCAGTAGTCCTACTACCTCTGGAATGTCCTGGCTGGCTTTACAAATTCTGCCTTGTATTCTTCATAGCACTTACCAATATCTACAATTGTATTGTTAATTTATTTGCTGTCCTCCCTGCTAGAATGTAAACTCCATCAAAGCAAGAATTCTGTCTTATTGTTGGCTCTCTCCCCAGTGCCTTCAACACTGGCTACCATATACGAGGCCTCCCTAAATATATCGTTAATGAATGGAGGTCACCATGTTGTTTAAAAAACTGACTCTTTCTAGATACCGATTTTAATAAAATCAGATTTACTATGTCCTAGTTTGGTTAGGAAAGTTTTTCACCATTGTTTGAAATTTCTCTTTTCTTCTCAGTCTTAAAATACAGTCTGTCAGTGATGGGCATAGAAAGTAACTGTAAATGGATCTTTTAGGTGATCTTTAAATGAAATTGGATGAAGTCTATAGAATTCATACAACCCAGAAGAGAATACTCACCTCTGTCTTGTAAGGGCTGGGATCCCAGAGATTCACGCTTGAACAGAGCCTTCATTGGCTGGCATTGGCTGCTCTGAGATCTTTGAGTTTGTGTCAATAGTGCCGTATTGCAACAGTGCAGTTCTTGCCCCTGGTCACCAACTGGAACCTATAAGTCATTAGTTTTAGTTATCTACCCAACATTTCTATTATGTTTTCCATGTGCTTTCTATTTGATACATACTGTTTCTACAAGCCTTATGATATTAATACAATTAACATAGATAACAGCCCTATGAGCTATTACTCTGGATTTTTGTGGTAAGTTGCCAAAAATGGAGACGTAGCTCTGATCTTCTCTCCTGCGTGGACAGTGTTTAAGCAGCTTGCCCATGTCACCCAGCTAATAAGTGGCAATGCTAGGATGGAAGCTCAGACAGAATGACTCCAGACTCCATGTTCTTACCATTACTCTAGGCTACCTCATTACATACATCTGTGTGCTTACGAAAACCCTTTGGACACTGGTGTTGAATTCTCAAAAAATACTAACATATTTTCTAATCTGAAAAATGAGGATAATAATTTCTACTTTATGGGGTTTTGGAAACTCGTAAATAAGTTCACTGTACGTGAAATCACCGAACACAGGGCCTGGCACATAGTTATGTCCTCATTTAAAGCAGGTTTCCTTCCAGACATTTATAGTTAAATTACAGTTTTCAAGTTACTGTCTCACTTTTTCCCACCTCAGAATTTCCCACCTCTTTTATGAGGAATGAAGCTAAGAGACTCGCAATGATTTCCCACTGTTACAGGGCTCGGGTGTAATAGACCCAAGCCAAGAACCTTGGTATCCAGCTCTCCAGTTAGAAGGCTCTGGCCACACAGGTCCTCTGAGAGTGTGTGCACAGGGACACAGAATGATGTAAAGAGGAAATAGTATCATAAAACAGGGAAGATGGAGGTAGAAACTGGCCCACTTTATACCAGAGGTTCATAACCAGTGGTCCATGGATTTTGTCCCAAGTTGTCCGTGAACTTAGACGGGACAAAAACTCATCTTATTTTTACTGGTCTTTATGAGAGAGTTAGCATTTCCTGCAATTATGAATGGAAGCAACAAGTCAAGGTACCGTAAGCAGTACCCAGGTCTTTGTCACCAATAGAACCTGCACATGTTTTCACATCACATTACAACCAGGCAAATCGATGTTTATCACCATTTTGAAATGCCAATTAGAATCCCTGTCCCTAGGTCATATTATTTAGTGCAGTAATAACAAACCACATATATGACTTTAATACAAATTTAATTCTTTGCTAACTGTATGTCAATATGGTTGTGCTCTTTCGTAATCCTTTATAGTTTCTTTATGTATTTAAAACTATAATTCAGAGAGGGAGTCCAGGGACTTCACCTTACTGCCAAGGAGGTTCATGGTACAAAAAGAGATGGAGAACTCCCGGATCTTAAGGGGATGCCCCTCACTCCGATCTTGAGATGTCAGGAGGAAACGGACCACAGCGCTGAGATACTAAACCTGTTCTTTCTACCTGCGGTGCCGGCTCATCCCGCCGCCTCTCCAAATACTCCAGCAGCAGCACCACCTCCTCCCCGCTCTCTGGATGCTGCTCCCGCACCCAGCTCTGCACGTTCCCCGGCAGGATGGTCAGGAACTGCTCCAGCACCAGCAGCTCCAGGATCTGCTCCTTGCTGTGCATCTCAGGCTGCAGCCACTGTCGGCAGAGCTCTCGGAGCCGGCTCAGCGCCTCGCGAGGGCCTGCAGCCGCCGGGAGGCGAAAGCCTCGGAAGCGCTGGCGCAAGTGCTCGGGGCCCCCAGCAGGGCTGCCGGGTGCGCTCAGCTCCACCGTCAAGGCGGACGCGTCCTCCTTCTCCACCTTCACGGTCAGGAGCCCCGTCTTGTCCGCTGCAGACTGGGCGTCCAGGGCTGCGTTTTTTCTCGGTTCTCTGGCCATCCTGCCCCACCGCAGTACCCAGGTCTCACTCTAGCGGCGACTGTATATCTTCAGAGGATTCTGGAACGGTGGTCAACCGTCCAGTAAAACGCATGTGGAGCCCAGGGGCCAGGACACCCCTGAGGCGCAGCCGCACAGAGCTCTCTTATAGTCCGTGCGTCTGCGGGGTCTCCTCTGCACCCCACTGTGAATCCCACAGCAAGTATCCCCAGAGGATGTCTTTGGGGGTGAACGTGATCACTCTCCAGACACGAGGGAAGTTGAGGCTGGGGCACAGGAAGCCTCGGTGGGAACCAAGGCCACTTCCTGGGCTCTCTAGGAAGCTCCTCTCGGTGGTTGTCTCCGAATTAACCCCTTAGCTACCCTGTCCTTACCTCCACACAAGGGAAGGCAGTTAAGGGAAAGAGAAGGAAAAGGATGGCAGACCCTGGATCATAACAGATAGGATTGATTCTTTAAATCCAAGAAGGATGCCGCTGTGGCTCATATTTTTTTCCTATGTAAAGCTTGCCTAAGCAGCTGGCATAAAATTGACACTAAAATTCAGCTGGAAAGTAGGGGTTTCCCAGAGCCCTGAGAACTCTCGCGGGAGGAACTTTAGTCTCTCTCAGAAACGTCAGAGCAGCAGAACACACCACCAGGCACTTGCCTGGAGCGAGCAGTGGCTGCCCTTTTCCTTCCCCTCTCACCCATCCCTTTTTTTCCTCCTCCTTAAGGCCAAGCTACTTGAAAGAAAGCCCTCCCCACCCTGACTCTAGCCCTCACATCCCACTAATTCCTTAACACACTGTTCCACTCCCCCACTCACCACTCTCTACATTCCATGGCTGCTTCTCTGGCAATCAGGCTTATGCTGCTCTCCACCTCCAGAAACTTTCTAGCCTCTGGCTTCAGGGACCGCATTCTCTTCTGTTTCTTCCTTCTTGCTTCTTCCCAGCCCCCATTCACAGTCAAGCACAGTGGCTAGATATACATGGAGCCAGGTTACCACTCACTATCTGGCTGGGTGATCTTGGTAAATTACTTAACCTCTCTGCCTGACTTTTCCAATCTGTAAATAGGGAAAATAATAGTAGATAGAATGTTGTAGGGATTAGATAATATTGTGAGCACTCTTGGGTAAAGTGCTTAGAACAATGCTTGGCATGTGATAAACTAGGCCTATCCTATAATAGAAGAAAGCCCTGAGAATTCTTTGAACCAGATGGGATTCGATTTTAAGCCATAAGTGACTCTAAGTTATTTGGCTGGATACTTCAGTAAGTCCCTTTTTACGCAGTAGAATGGAGAAGCTGAGTCCTGGGGCTCCTGGGAGCCAGGATGTCAGGAGGGACCATGGACAGGGACTTTGTGGCAGTGGGACCTCTGCTGGAGTTTGGTGGGCAGTCCGCTTGAGGAATCCCCACCTCTTGCCCACCAGAGGCCCATTTCCTTTCCTGGAGTTGGGATCCTATTCCGATGGCTCCTGGTGCTTGGGAAACTCCGAGCTGCAGGTGCAGCTAGACAGCGGATTTCAGAGGTCTGGCTTCTTTGACCACCCCTGGCAGGAAAGGAACTTAAAGAATCAATTTTCTGTGGTTTGTCTATTCAGGAACCAGAGACATCCTGGAAAATCCATCCTGGTTTTCCACTCCAAAACAGGCTGTTTTTATCTAAATCACATTAGATATAGTTTTCAAGAAATCTGAGGAGACAAGGACTAAGGACAAAATGGAACAAAATCATCATTTCCTATTTCTCCTAGAAGCAGGGGGAGACTTGTAGTTGCCTGTCTTTTAGAAGTAGGTGGATTTTTCTAGCAAGAATATTGAGATTTGGAGGTAGAATAGGTGAAAGATGATGAAAAGTATATTCTTGTGGATTGCAGAATTATGATAAAGCTCCCATCCAGCATCTCAGAGTTGTGAAGATTAGCTGAGGTAACTTCTGAAAAGTGACTACACACACAATGCTTCAAAGCTGTCAATCCCACTATCCCACAGGACACTCTGGTTGACTGCCAAATGTCCGGTCCCCTATTCTGTCATGTTAAGAGATTCTTGTTTGCTTGTTTCTGGATAACAATGTGACCACTTGAAAATATTTCTCTCTCCAAACACTTGAAGATAGAGGGAACCTTTTGACCCAATTCCAGACAGTGAGATGAAAGCAAAACCACTGAATGGAGTTTTTAGGAAAACTATATTATTTTATGACCAAAAAAAGAAAAAAAGAATGACTCAACAGCCCATAACTTTGGCCCTTCTTTCTTCCTAGAATGACTCAAACTAGCCCATACCTTTGGCCCTCCCTTCCTATTCTTTGGTAGAATGGCCATCTTTTCATGAGGAGGCAAGCATGAAGATGAAAGCCATTTGCTGGAAGCAGAAAGTTATTGAAAAATATTGAAGCAGAAAGAGAAGAAACATGGAACATTCATGATGTCATAGAGCTGCTATCACCACTTTGAATTGCCCCTAAGAAGATACAAATTTTAAGCTGATTGGCTACTCCTTGTATTGACACTTTCTCAGTAAGTTTCCCTGAATGATTCATGTTCATTGGGATACCATTTCAGTAATGACCAGGTCACCAGCAAAGACTTTTTAGAAAAGGTATAAAAATAAAAATTTAAGTCATTGGAAATGCCAATGACTTAAAAATCTTTTAAAGGAGGGATGTGTTACTCCAAGTTCTTTCTTAGTCTTTGCCAAAATACACAATTTTTGCCCAGTTTTAATCCCTGAACAGATAGAATATTGATGCAGTTTTTAAATATTTTATAGATTTAATGGGTACAAGCACAGTTTTGTTACATGGATATATTGCATAGTGAAGTCTGGCCTTTCAGTGTACCTGTCACCTTAATAGTGAACATTGTACCCAATAAGTAATTTTTTTTTGAGGCAGGGTCTCACTCTGTTCCCCAGGCTGGAATGCAGTGTCATGATCATGGCTCATTGCAGCCTTGACCTCCCTGGGCTCAACGAATCCTCCCACCTCAGCATCTCAAGTAGCTCAGACCACAGTGCATGCCACCACACCTGGCTAATTTTTTATTTTTATTTTTTGTAGTGATAGGGTCTTTCCATGTTGCCTAGACTGGTCTTGAAACCCTGGGCTCAAGCAATCTGCCTCAGTCTTTTAAAGTGCTGGGATTAAAGGTGTGAGCCACTGTGCCCGGCCCCAGTAGGTAGTTTTTCAAGCTTCAAGCCCTTCCACCCTTCCACCTTTTGGAATCTCCAATGTGTATTATTCACCTCTGTATGTCCATGTGTACCTGTGGTTTAGCTCCCACTTATATGTGAGAACATGTGGTATTTGACTTTCTGTTTCTTAGTTATTTCATTAGGATAATGGCCTCCAGTTCCATCCATGTTGCTGCAAAAGACATAAATTCATCCATTTTTATGGCTGATGTAGTTTTTTTTTAACCTAACCTTATGCTATAAACACTATCTCATGTCACTTTTTGTTTTTTTGTTTTAGATGCTTCAAAACGGTTCTCATTAGTGAATGTCTCATATTGACATAAAGCAAAGTATTGCCTATATTGTTGTTTTTGTGTGTAAAGGTCACTAAATATATGTGTAAAGGCAGTCTGAAGTAATTTAGAAAGGAATTGAATTCCAGTTTGTCTCCAGAACTCTATAAATTTACTTATTAGGAATTTTTTTTTTTTTTTAGACCGAGTCACACTCTGTCACCCAGGCTGGAGTGCACTGGCATGATCTCGGCTCACAGCAATCTCCACCTCCCAGATTCAAGCGATTCTTCTGCCTCAGCCTCCCAAGTTGCTGGGACTATAGGCATGCACCACCATGCCCAGGTAATTGTTGTACCTTTAGTAGAGATGAGGTTTCACCATGTTGGCCAGGCTATTCTCAAACTCCTGACCTCAAGTGATCCGCCCGCCTCCACCTCCCAAAGTACTAGGATTACAGGCATGACCACTGCGCCCAGCCAGGATTTTCTTAATAATAAGTATAGATTGGGACAAACTAATATTAAATGCCTCCTTCTGTAATGCAATAAAATATATACAATATCACCTATGTGATCAGCCAAACAGGATCACCTTGAATCTCATCTTGAAGAAACAATCAGATAAATTTAAATTGTGAGATATTTTTAAAAACAATCACCCTGGCCTCTTCAAACTATGTCAATAAATTAAAAAATAAATTGAGGGGACTGTCTTAGTCCCTTTGGACTACTGTATCAAAATAATGTAAACCAGGTGGCTTATAAACAACAGAAATTTGTTTCTCACAGTTGTGAAAGCTGAGAAATCCAAGATCAAGGTGCAGGCAGATTTGATGTCTACGGAAGGTCTGCCTTCTGGTTCATAGACGGCACCTTCTAGCTGTGTCCTTACATGGTGGAAGGGGCAAGGCAGCTCTCTGGGACCTCTTTCATAAGGGTACTAATCCCATTCATGAGAGATCTGCTCTTATGACCTAATTACCTCCCAAAAGCCCCATATCCTAACACTATCACATTGGTGATTAGATTTCAACATATGAATTATAAACGGACACAAACATTCAGACTAGGCAGATAAACTGTTCTAGATTTAAGAGACTAAAGTGTTATACTAAATGCTATGCATGAACATTGAATGGATTCTAGATTTAAAAACACACACAAAATATTCAATCCCACCTCAATGCCATTTTTTGAACAACTGAAGAATTTTAAACATATCCTATATGTTTTGACTGTAAGGACGATATTGTAAGTATAAAGGAAAATGTCGTTTTTATGCATTCATCACTGAAATAGTTAGAAGTGAAGCATTATAATGTCTGCAATCTTCTTTCGAGTAAGAAACCAAATCTTAACCACTAGCGAATCTAGGTAAGTGATATATGGGTGTTTGAACTTTTATGTAGGTTTGAAAGTTTTTAAAATAAAAAATTGGGGGCCGGGCATGGTGGCTTATGCCTGTGATGCCAGCACTTTCAAAGACTGAGGTGGGAGGGTCAGTTGAGCCCAAGAGTTTGAGACCAGCCTGGGCAACGTCTGTCTAGAGACAGGGTCTAGCTCTATAAAAAAATCAAAAATCAGTTGGGTATGGTGATACGCAACTGTGGTCCTAGCTACTTGGGAGGCTGCGATGGAAGGATCACTTAAGCCCAGGAGGTCAAGGGTGCAGTGAGCCATGATAGTATGACTGCATTCTAGCATGGGCAACAGAGTAAGACCCTGTCTCAAAAAATATTAAAATAAAATAAAAATGGGAGGAAAGATTTATGAAAAACAATTTTGAGAACTTTTAAGATAGTAAAATGTTACCTGTGAGAACAATTCCATTTTAGCTGAGCGTTCAACATCTGGTACTTTCCTTAATGATTAAAATGTATTGTTATTTCAAAAACTTTCCCCATTTTCATAAAGTTCTTCAAATGTATTTCTATGTTCTATACAAATGAATATTTGCTCATCTATAAGTAAAATTTAGAAAATAAAAGCCCATCTTCTCATAAAAAGTTATGGTAGGCATTTATTTTTATCCCTATAAGCATACTTTTTGCACCACTGCTTCTTCTGCTAAGTCAGGGGTTAGCAAACTGCTGCCTATAGACCAAAATTGACCCGTGGCCTGTTTTTTTAATGGTCTGAGTGAGGAATTATTTTTATATTTTTTAATGGCTGGGGGGAAAATCAAAAGAATAATAAAATTTAGTAAAGTAAAAATCATATGAAATTCACTTCAGTGTCTATAAATAAAGTTTTGTCAGAACACAGCCTTGTTCATTCACTTACATATTGTCTATGGCTACTTTTGCCCTACAAGGGCAGAACCCTAATTAAACAAAATGCTTTTCATCCAAAAAAGAATTTAATTTTTCCCATTAGAAGATATGAATTACAAAATTATACTCAATTATTATCGTTTGAATAATATAATTATATTACATCAATTAAAATGTGTTTTTTCTTTTGTTATAAGTATGTAATATACACCATGGAATGCTATACGGCCATAAAAAAAGAATGAGATCATGTCCTTTGAAGGGACATGGACAAAGCTATAAGCCATTATCCTCAGCAAACTAACCCAGGAACAGAAAACCAAACACCACATGCTCTCATAAGTAGGAGTTGAACAATGAGAACACATGGATACAGGGAGGAGAACAACACACACCAGAGCCTGTAGGGGGTGGAGGAGGGAAGGGGGAGCATCAGGACAAATAGCTAATGCTTGTGGGGCTTAAAGCCTAAATGATGTGTTCATAGGTGCAACAAACCACCATGGCACTTGTATACCTACATAACAAACCTACACGTTCTACACATGTATCCTGGAACTTAAAGTAAAATAAAAATTTTAAGAAACAGTTATCTATTCCTTGGAATAATTGAACAAATTGTTGATTATGCTTTATCATTTTTTAAATGTACATTTTGTCTTAAAAATAAGTATGTAATATCCTCAATTTTGCCTCTTGACCCATAAAACCTAAAATATTTACTATTGGCCTTTTACAGAAAAGGGTTGCCGACCCCTAGTCTAGGTCATAGCTTTTCTAAAGATCAAAAATATATTCTAAATTTCACTTTCCTGTGTGCTACCTGAAATAAGTATTCCATCAATCAACTTGTTAATTCAAGTTTACATCAGATATTAACGGCTTAAATTTAGTTATCCAAGTAAGACATATCCATTTCATTGGCCTATCAAGTAGTCTATAACTCCAAAAACATTTTTTATTTAGTTACAGAAACTCTATAGTACTTATTCTATCCATATATTTTCACTATACATGTGACCATTCACATGTAATACTCCCTGCTGTTTAACAGTTCCTAAATTCACATAATTTATGTATGGAACCAATCCTTATCCCCTTCAATCAAATTACTTAAATTTTTACTTAGAGCAAATGATATAATTTGGTCTTATTCTATTTAATTCTCCCCATTTTGTTATTTAGAGTTCTAGCATCAGGAAGGTATCATTCTTAAGTTTTGGCCTGGCTGTCAAACCTGAGCAGATCAACTCAATTAGAGAGAACCAAGATGATGTTAGTGCCTTATTTACATTTTAAGATGAGGGATAAATGATCTTGTATAAAATGTTTGTCATTTCTGAGAGTGAGATATAATGTGTATACAGAAAGTGGTTTCCAAACTACAGAGTTTCTGAAGAAATCTCCCTAGATAGAAAGATAGCTGTCTACATGATGGAGTGGGATGCTTTTGTGTTTCTAGGGTGGAAAAGTCTGTGAATTTAATAATTAAAGTCCGGTGGCAGGGTCTGGGAAAGGGGCGGCAGGCGCCATGTCCGGCCGGGAAGGTGGCAAGAAGAAGCCCCTGAAACAGCCCAAGAAGAAGGCCAAGGAGATGGACGAGGAAGATAAGGCTTTCAAACAGAAACAAAAAGAAGAGCAGAAGAAACTCGAAGAGCTAAAAGCAAAGGCCGCGGGGAAGGGGCCGCTGGCCACAGGTGGAATTAAGAAATCTGGCAAAAAGTAAGCTGTTCCTTGTCCCTGAGGAGATGGTGACCCTTTATTTCATCCGTATTTAAACATCTGTATTCCCTGCCATAGCATCTTTTGCCACCTATAGCTGGAATTAAGTGTTGTCTTGGAGCTGTTGTACATTTAAGAATAAACTTTTGTATTAAAATAATAATAATAATAATAATTAAAATCATGACTCTTGGCCTGGCATAGTGGCTCACGCCCGTTAATTCCAGCACTGGAGAAGGCTGAGGCGGGAGGATCATTTGAACCCAGGAGTTTGAGACCAGCCTCAGAAACAAAGTGACACCCGTCTCTACAAATAAATTATTTAAAAATCAGTCTGCCGTGGTGGTGGGCACCTGCAGTCCCAGCTCCTCGGGAGGCTGAGTTGTATCACCTGAACCCGGGAAGTCAAGTCTGCCCTGAGCTGTGATCCTTCCACTGCACCCGAACCTGGGCGACAAAGACCCTTTCTTAAAAAAAAAGTACAACTCTGTCCTTCACCTAGCTCAGAGACTGAGAAATCGATTCAAAAGAAGTTTCGGTGCTTGCTTCCCGTGGTAGCAAGGGAGACTGGGAAGTGATTAAATATATTTCCTCCACGAAGAGGATGGACAAGGTCCTTTTTTAGGAAGGTAAAAAGGAGGAGCGTCGGTAGTAGGGATCTTCCACAGAGGGGTAAAGTTAAGGAGCCGGAAATGAAGCGTTTGAACAAAGGGTGAGAAGCAAAATGGTAAAAGGCGAAATCGAAGAAGTGGGTGTTTCAACGGTAGAGAGAATAATAGACGCAAATTCGTCCTTTTACGTTCCCAGACGGCTCAGGTGGGGGAACATAAGTCCTAACAACAAGCGCGCCCTAATCCTAGCCACTTCCCTCAAGAAGCTTTCACGCAGCCTCGGCCAAGGCCGGCGCCTCACAGCACACGCGCGGATTCGTTTTTCCTCTGCTGACCGACAGGAAGCGGAAGCCGTGCGTGGGCGGCCGTTTCTAGTGCGCCTGCGTGGGAGGCCGTGTTTCGTGCTCCTGCGCGGCGGTGAATCGCCGCCCTGCCCCTGTGTCTCTAGTAACTGCCCGGCGTTAACCGTTTAAGTCGCGGCTCATGCCCCCAGTCTCCCGGGCCCGCTATTCCGAGGACGTCCTGAGCTCTCGTAGACGGCGACGCAGCTCCTCGGGGAGCCCAGCATCCGCGCGGAGCAGACGTTCCTCTAGGGATGGCCGTTCGCGCTCTCACTCCCGCGGCCGTGAGGGCCTCAGGCCTCCTTGTAGTGAGTCGGGCGTGGACGTTCTTTACCCCATTTGTACCTCTGGGTCGCAGGAGCGGCCCCCAGGGCTCCGCACCTACGCTTTACCTTCCTCCTCGTTGACCTCGTATAGCGGATATCGCCACCGTCGCCACCAGTATGCGGAAGAACGGCAGTGGGTGGAAGACTACGCGAAGGAGAAGGAAGAGAGCTATGGGCAGAGGAGGCTGAAGGAGAGAGAGAGGATTGGGGAGTTGGGAGCACCTGAGGTGTGGGGCCTGTCCCCAGAGTTTCCTGAACCAGATTCTGATGAACATAGCCCAGTTGAGGATGAAGAGGTAAAGCATAGGAAGAGCAGCAGCTCAGACTCCAGCTCGGAAGAAAATGGGAAAAAGAAGACCAGTCGTTCAAGAAACAAGAAAAAAAGAAAGAATAAGTTGTCTAAAAGAAAACATAGGAAGTCTTCTGATGATAGTGACAGTAACTCAAACCCAGAAAAAAATTCTAACTCTGATGATAATAAAAAGAGAGTTAAAAAAGCCAAGAAGAAAGAGAAGAAAAAGAAACGTAAAACAAAAGAACCCAAGAAAAAGAAGAATAAGAAGACTAAAAAAGAATCCAGTGACTCAAGCTGTAAAGATTCAGAAGAGGAGTTGTCTGAAGATACGTGGATGGAGCAGCCAAATATTGCAGATACTATGGATTTAATAGGTCCAGAAGCACCTATAATACATACCTCTCAAGATGAGAAACCTTTGAACTATGGCCATGCTTTGCTCCCTGGTGAAGGTGCAGCTATGGCTGAATATGTAAAAGCTGGAAAGCGAATCCCACGAAGAGGTGAAATTGGGTTGACAAGTGAAGAGATCGCTTCTTTTGAATGCTCAGGTTATGTCATGAGTGGTAGCAGGCATCGCAGAATGGAGGCTGTACGACTACGTAAGGAGAACCAAATCTATAGTGCTGATGAGAAAAGAGCTCTTGCATCTTTTAACCAAGAAGAGAGACAAAAGAGAGAAAATAAGATTTTAGCCAGTTTTCGAGAGATGGTGTACAAAAAGACAAAAGGGAAAGATGACAAGTAAGGACTTGTTAGTTGCACAGCAAGACTTTTAACAATAAAAGTTTTATATGACCAGAAGTGTTAAAAGGCTTTGCAGTGCTACTGTACTTAACGTAGTGTCTCAGGAAAAAGCTGCTTTTGTGATGTCTTTAGCAGCTTATTTTTTTTGACTTTAGAAAGTAACAGTTTTAAAAATAGTCATTACAGAGGGGAGTTAGTAAAAAGTGAATCTTTCACCGCAGCCCCTGACACCTTTCTTCCAAAAAGTATCTTTTTTAGTGTCCTGTACATAGAATGTACATTCTGCACATACACAAGGATATATGTTGCAGGATAAGGGTTAAGAGCTATTAAAGTTTTTTTCTCCTGTTACTCTGTTTTGCCATTCATTTGCCCCTGGGGGACCAAAAGAAGCCCAGAAAGAACAAAAGGATTCCATAAGTGTATACCTCTACTTTCAGTTAACAGGCTGGGTTAGAAAATAGAAAATATTTATTGGCTCTTGAAAAGTCTGGAAGAAGGATGGATTTCCTGCATGGCTTTAATTGAATTTCAGCTTTCTTCTCCACTTTCCTTTTCCAAGGGTCGTTTACCTTGGCCTGGTTTCCCTTATATAACAAAAAGGCTGTCAAACCTCCTGAGTTTGGTTACCTTTTTTTCTGGTCCACCTCTGAAGAGAGAACATTTCTGAGTTGCCAATCCAAACAGGAATCCAGAGATTCACCATAATGGGATAAGCTTGGGCCACTTGCCCACTCAAAACAAGTGTTGTTGCTTAGGAAATAGAATGGCTTATCTGTGGAGTTGTAGATCAGTTGTACAGGAGTGGATTCTTGAATGAAAACCAGGTTGGGCAAGGGAAGTAGACAACCAATAAATGCCTACTACAGTTTTGAATCATTTTTTTAAAAGCATATAGTGAAAGTACATGTGTTAGAAGTGAAAATTTTCTTGTAGAAAAGCTTGGCTTTGACTACTAGAAGCCAAATCCTGATTTAAGAGGATATAAGCTTTATTCATAAAAAGATATGAAAGATGAATATCAGAGTGCTTGAGTAGATTTGGGCCATCTAGCCTGGCAAGAGAAAGAAAAAATGATAAGGTATAAAGAAGAATGCCAGGGCCTGATGGCTTGCCTGTAATCCCAGCCCTTTGGGAGACTGAGGTGAGAGAATTGCTTGAGGCTAGGAGTTCGAGGGCAGCCTGAGTAACATAGCAAGACCAAATCCCCACCCCCACTCCCAAAAAAAGAGTGAGATGTTAGATTTTGAAGGGAAAGCGAGGGTTACAGAAACACACACCACACACACACACACACACACACACACACACACGGAGGTTCAATGGCAAATGCGCGATTTGTGTCCGGCATAACACCTACAGAGTTGGGGAACCAACCTGATGCCAGTGCCTACCATTGCTTACAGGCTGGGGCACTTGTAGGCCTGAGCAGGAGGGGTCTGGGCAGTATGGCTTGCTGCCAGGGAAGATGTTGATAAGACAATTTGGCTCTTGTTCCCACAGAATGTAATGTTCCTTGCACTTTTTGCCAGCACAATATGAGAAAGGGCAGGCTGTTTCTCACAGCCCGAACCCCTGTGGAATGTTTTACCTTGATTAAGGTCTGAGAAATGGTGGAAGACTTACAAAATGATGCAGTTTGGGCTAACAAGAGAGAACCAGAGGAAGAATAAGGTAGTTGGCAGAACTCGAGGAGGAGACCAGATCAGGAGGGACCACAGGGACAGGAGAATTAGCATCGAGAGACTGGCTAATCTTTTTAGAAAACTCTTGAGTTTTGAGAAAACTTCACAGTGATCTCCATTAAAGGTCTATTAAAAGGCCTTTTTGTCATTCAGTGATATGTGTCTGGCCCTTGAGACTTTAGTTTAACACTATCCAAATTATCTCATTTGCATAACCCCCTTTTCAAAGTTCAAAATATTGATTAGCTCCCGGAGAGTTGCAGGTGAGGAAATGGGGTTCTAGAATCTGGCAGGGCAGTGTGATGTGGAAGGGCACATTTACTCTTCCACAAGATGTGACATGGCTGACACTGGACCACATCAGCTTAAGATTTTCCCCAAAGGGGGTTGTGGCATATTGGTGATAGCCATGCTGTTACATGTGCATATTTCCATTTAGAACAAACTATACCACACTATACACATGGATTGACACTTTGCTCTTTTAATACATCCTGGAGATGTTTTATATCAATACATATGAAACTTTCTTTTTAATAACTTTATAGTATTCCATTATATGAAAGCACCATATTTTGTTGGATGATGAAGAGGTTTTTCTATATTATGCTATCACACAGCATTATAGTGAAAGCCTCTGTGAGTATGTGACAGTGTATCTGTAGCATATCATCTAAAAATAGATGAATATTAGATCAAAAAGAATCTTTTGGATCATCTAGAAATGCTAACTTCAAAATAGAATTATTGAAACAAGAGGAAAATGTCAGGCGCTTCCTATGTATTAGGCACTGTGGCTGGTACTGGGAATAAACCAAGAAACAAGTTAAACTTGCTCCTTGCCATCATATAATTTTACATCTTACTGGGGGAGACAGACTCACAAAAGCCGACAGACAAAAATTACAAATTACGGTATGATGTGAAGAAAGTAAGGGGCTACAGACAGTGTTGGGGGGCAGCTTTTTTGATAAAATGGTTAAAGTCTAAGAATGTCACATTTAAGCTCTGTGTGCTTTTCAATTTTAATAGATACTGCAACACCCCCCTCTCTGTTTACACACTCACCAACATCATCACCAATATTGTTTTTTCAAACCTTTTGATCTTTCCCAATCTAAGGTGTAAATGACATTTTATTTTTTATAAGGTAGAGCATCTTTTCATAGATGTATTTATGAGTCTTTTGAAATTCTTTTTTGTGTATGTGAACTGCTCCTGCGATAACCTTTGTCTATTCTTTTATAGCGTTGTTGGTCTTTTTCTTACTGATCATAAAAATGCTTTAATAAATAAATTAGATCTTTATCAAATATCTTGCAAATATATCTATTGTTATTTACTTTTGACTTGCTTTTCTTGGAGACACTTGACTATAATGCCCTTTCAGGCCTAAAAAGATTTTCTAATAGTGGCCACACAAATATCTTTATCTTTCTCACTTGGAAAGTGAGAAAGATAAAGATATCTTTCTCAGTACAGCTGAGAAACTGTGACTTCTAAGTAAGCCAAGGCAAGATTAGTGAGCTTTTTGCCCAGAAAGATAAAATACACACCATACAATCAATAGTATTTCTAAGGCTTGCAGTGGAATACTCATGATAGCTGTAATTATGCTTCACTTGCTATTTAATGTTGCCTAATATATTAGAGAAGGACTTGGCCAATACATCTGCCTTAGAAGAGATTTCAAAAGTTGGAATTTGACTGCAGACCACTGTTGTCTCAGGGGAGCTAATAAAAAGGGTTACAGCAACTTTTCCTTTGAAGTAGTTTTGCCCAGAGTATGTAGTTATTGATTGTGAAATAGAAGAAAAATGGCACAACAAAAATTTTATGTTATGTATGTTTCAAGAAACCATCAAAATCACTTTATTATTTCACTCTGCTCGCGCAGGAAGTTGAACAGATCAAATAACTGTCTTAGCCACCAGAGTTACATTGAGTTTTATTCATTGCTGAGAAACAGCCTAAGAAAGAAAGTGAGGCTACTGCCAATTTACAATTGATACATTTTATGGAATAGCATTAATGTTCTCAGAGACCATTTTTTTTTTTTTTTTTTTTTTTTT